TTTACTTTTTAATAAAAATTCATGTTGATTAACGTATACTCACAGCCATTAAATCTTTGAAGAATGTTTGTAATTCTGATACCATTGAATTAGGTTGTATTGAATCCGGTGGTGAAATTGGTGATGACGGATTAGATTGAACTGTAACACTTGTTGGTGTAGTTATCGTTGTATGATTAGAAGCTTTCGACGATTGTGGTGACTCTGTTGGTGATGGTGATGTTGGTGATAAATTTCGTCTTCGAAATAAGAAATGCTACCCTTTTTTTATGAATAATTAATATTAGTTATTATTATTTAATATTATATGATATATATAGTAAATTAATAAATTAACTTATTATCTAATATATATATTAATTTACTATATCAAGATTGGTAAACTTTATAGCATTTTAATTTTCATGATCTTTGGTCAAATTTTAATCTTAAATTCAGCTTAACTATTACCGTTAGAAGATTGAATACTCTTGCGAAAGAAGTTTTTCTGGTGCTGAAAACTTAAGTTCGTGTCATTTTTCTCTTCCAACGTGGTACTTATAGCTTTGTCATGAAATACGTACAGCAGAGACCATCCAATATGGAAGTGATATTCATGCTAAATTCTCATTGTGATCGATTCAAAAAATAAGGTAGTTCCTAATTTGACGCACGACGATATCTTGTGTGAACTGTCGATCAGAATTACATGATTCTGATCGACAATTCGCAAGATGCTCCTTTTAGCCCAAGGTAGATATGCCTAATTTGACGCAGGTAAACGTTTACGATAAATATCGTGTGGTGTATCGATCAGAATCGCAAGATTTTGGTACCATTCGATTCTTCTCGATAAGACGAATCGAATGGTACCAAAATTTTGCGATTCTGATCGATACATCACATGATATTTATCGTAAACGTTTACCTGCGTCAAATTAGACACTATCAAACTAGGAACATATTTTTAGACAACCTTTAATAAGTGATATCTCATGATTTGGTGATTAGAATTGGATGATTTTGATCGATATATCATGTGATATTTATTGAAAACGTTACCTGCGTCAAAATAGGCATGTCTACCTTATGTTATAAAGCAAATTGTGAGCTTCGATTTTCTTAAAAAATTTTTTACACTTCTTAGAAAGGATAAGGCTTTCAAAAAAAGTATCGTTATCAATTGTGTAACAACTCAGTGTAACATCCACTGTCCTTGCTGTAGTCATGAAATAGTCATGAAACGAATTAAAAGCAGTTGCATCATTGAAACATATAAAATTTTAGAGAAAGTGTTTCTTGATCAACTTGATAAGGTGTATAGGCAAAAGGATGTCAAAACCATGTATGTTTGTATTTATTTTGTATCAATTAGTACTCCACAAAATCAAAACAAATTTTGAATTTGAATCAAATATTTAAAATTATTTGATCAACCTAATTAAAAATTTGATCAAATAATTTCAAATATTTGATTCAAATTCAAAATTTGGTTTGATTTTGTGAAGTATTAGTATCAATCAGTGTTGTTAGCAATAGATGAATAGAACAATAGAGCAATAGAATAAAGCAATAAAATTTAGAATAGAACAAAAAATTAACAACTAGATTATAATTAATATTAATATAGCAAAAAAACAAATAGAACAATAGAATAGAACAATAGAATAGAACAATAGAACTTAGAATAGAATATAATTTTTATCAATAGAACAAAAACTTGACAACAATGGTATCAATATATCAATAGTTCAAATTAAATTTTAATTAATCCAAATATGAATTTCTTAGAATTACAAACATTCTTCAAAGATTTAATGGCTGTGAGTATACGTTAATCAACATGAATTTTTATTAAAAAGTAAA